AAAAAAAAAAAAAAGACTACATCAACAAGATGCTTAAATTTTCAAAAAATGCCCTTGAGGTCTCGTTGTCTTAAATTTAAAGGAATGACGGTAATGATAATAATACAAATGTGGTGGTTTTTTGAGATTTTTATGGCTTATGAAGGGTCAAGAGTCTAGGGCTGTAAACGAGTTGAGCCGAGTCGAGCATTGGCCGGAAAGATTGATTTTTTTATTTTTTAATTTTTTTTTACATGCTCGAGATCGGCTCGACAAAAGAATACAATCGCATGAGCTCTGCTCGAGATCTATTGAAATCAAATGCTCGACAACTTTCTCGAGTTCGACTCGAATTTCAAGTAAAATTACATTTAAGTACATATATAAAATATTGTAATATCTATATATAAGGGATATTTTAGTAATTCACTATATATCTCGACGCTCGACCTTCCAAAACCTATGTTCGAGATTGACTTGATAACATGCTTGAGCTCGGCTTGAGTTCGGTCAAACTCCAGCTCGAGCCGAGCTTTGGCTCGAGCGCTCGCGAGCGGCTCGGTTCGTTTGCAGCACTAAGTCAAGACATAAGGAGTAATCTAATCTAAATGGGTTTTTCGTATTTGTCAAAAAAAAAAAACATCTTTTCTTCTTTCGGTGTGTGTACTATGTGTTGTGATTTCAATTATTTTATAGCAAAGATGAGTTTTTTTTGGGAGGTGTCCAAACTTCATAACTAAGTTTACCGTTTGGATCTCTTTCTTTTTCGCTTTTCTTTCGAAATCAAAATCCCATTCGGCAGGGCATATACGGCTACCCCATCGAGATCCAAGCCCTGTTCTTCATGGCCCTCCGCTCGGCCCTTGTGATGCTTAAACACGATACGGAAGGCAAAGAGTTCATCGAGAGAATCGTGAAGCGGCTTCATGCCCTTAGCTACCACATGCGAAGCTACTTCTGGCTCGATTTCCAGCAGTTGAACGATATATACCGATACAAAACAGAGGAATATTCTCACACAGCAGTCAACAAGTTCAACGTCATCCCGGACTCAATCCCCGAATGGGTATTCGACTTTATGCCCACTAAAGGCGGTTACTTTATCGGCAATGTAAGCCCAGCCCGAATGGATTTTCGGTGGTTTGCATTGGGCAATTGTGTAGCTATTTTATCGTCTTTAGCCACGCCAGAGCAGGCCTCGGCTATAATGGACCTTATTGAGGAGAGATGGGAGGAATTAGTTGGGGAAATGCCTTTGAAGATTTGTTATCCGGCGATCGAGAGTCACGAGTGGCGGATCGTGACTGGTTGCGACCCAAAGAATACGAGGTGGAGTTATCACAATGGGGGCTCTTGGCCAGGTTCCTTTTTTTTTTTACCTTTTAATCCTTTCGTTTCGTTTTACGAATTCAAGATATGAAGTGGGATTTCCGTAATTTTGAAAAATAGTTATGTTTTTCTTTTCAAAAAGGGATAATTAGACCAATAAACTCAAATATAGCATTTTTTATTTTTCTTGTACTCAAATTACATTAATAAATGGTTACTTGTCTCGAATCCCTTCATCGGTTGAAAAGGATATATGTATGATGTATCGAAACAATATCTTTCGAAAAAATGTTTAGGATATTAAGGAAACCGCTTGTTCGAAAAATCCCATCATATGTATATTATCATTATTAATGAATCCAAATCTATCGGCTCAAATCTTTCTTTAATTCATCGTATGTGTACAGTGCTTTTATGGATGCTAACAGCCGCTTGCATCAAAACCGGGCGCCCACAAATCGCGAGACGAGCAATCGATCTTGCCGAGAGCCGCCTTCTGAAGGACAGCTGGCCCGAATACTATGATGGAAAATTGGGAAGATTTATCGGCAAACAAGCTAGAAAATACCAAACATGGTCCATTGCTGGTTATCTAGTTGCGAAAATGATGTTAGAAGACCCTTCACACTTGGGAATGATTTCCCTCGAAGAAGACAAGCAAATGAAGCCAGTTATCAAGAGATCCTCTTCGTGGACTTGTTGAAAATTTGCGATTAAAAGTCAAAAAAGCTCCCGCATATACAAGGAGTGTAGGAAGAGATTCGAGGTGAGGCGCCACCATTTTTTTTTTTTTTTACGTTAAAAAGTAAAAAGGGTCTCGATTCTTTTGGCGGGTTCTCGCTCGATTGTTGTAGGTGTGTGAGGATATAAAGCTTTGGTCTTGGTGTACATTAGTGTGTGTCTAGCAAGACTATCCATCCCTTTTTTTTTCTTACTTTTTTGTGTTGTTATTGTTGAAATAAGAATGACTCTTCTTGATGATTTGTTTCTTGATTCTTGCAAGAAAACTTTGTGGGTTTTTGAAGCTTTTGTTGTTTGTTTTTATGTTTGAGATAGAGGTGGTTAAAGTGTTCAAGAAAGAGATAGATAAATGAGTTGTGTAGGCTATATAATTTTATTGTGAAGAATATGTCTCAAAACACATTCTTACATAATGATGTAATAATTTGTTTTGAAGTGCTCTATTCTAAGTAGTGTTGGGGCAGATTTGACCTTAATGATTCAAATTCAAGTTCTGACATAAAATTGTTAGTGAGTTCTTCATGTAGGGTTGCCTAATATAGTTTACCAAACCAGTCTCTAGCTGATAGAATATTGCAACACGGTTTTGCTATGAAGACAACAATTTTCTGATAAAATATTGCATTAAAGAAACTTAGAACCCATTCAAATTTTCTTGAATTTTAAATTTGCCACTTTTAGAACTCTTAAAATGATGAGCAAAATTCAATGGATCCTTATTTGATTTTTTTTAATTCTATTAATCATGCTTTACGATTTTGCTATGAAGACAACAATTGTCTGATAGAATATTGCATTAAGGAAACTTAGAACCCATTCAAATTTTCTTGAATTTTAAATTTGCCACTTTTAGAACTCTTAAAATGATGAGCAAAATTCAATGGATCCTTCAAAGTGAATTTGATTTTTTTTTTTTTAATTCTATTAATCATCCAAACATGTTTGATGAATCTAGAATCTATAGAACCAAGTTCCTCAATATAAATACACCCATTAAGAACCTTTTAAATATTATTTGGATGGAGATGGGCTAAAAGTTGGAGTGATTTTTCTTCTTATAAAGAAACTTTTTTGTGATTCCATTACTTAATTAATCTACCTATTCTTATACACACATCTTGGACGGTGAAGAGTGGGCCAAATCCTAGATTGAGCCCCTACCACTCTTAATGTGTCATAAGATAGTGGAGAAGAATTCAATTAGAAGATCATTTCACCTAATATGAATTTCGAGCTATCAGATCACACACGCGTATTGTATTGATCTATCAGTTCAAAATCAGACCCGACAGATACGAATTTTTCGAAGATTTGCCTATACATATATCAAAAAACAATCTTTGTATTGCACACTTTTTTTTTTTTTTTTTGAGTAACTATCTTAAATAGCAAACCTCATTGTCACTTCTAAAGTACTCTAACTAAGGAACATTTAATTTGACAAATGGACCATTTTATTTGCAGTGAAAAAAAAAAAAGAAAAAAAAAGATGATGAAATTAGGTGGGGAAAGAGTGGGGTTTTAGTGTAAGGATGAGCTAGTGTTTGTTGTTGTTGTTGCATATATATTCATATTTAGATGCTTTGGTCTTAAGTGAGCTGTACTAGCATTTGCTTTTTTGCCTTCAAGAGAAAATTCTTTTTAATTTATTTTGTAATTAATTTATCAACAACAACAACATACCCAGTATATTCCCAACTGGTTGGGGTCTCGGGGGTCAGTTCTACGTAGACCTTACCCTTGTAATTATACAAGGAGACTGTTTCCGTAGCGACCCAAGGTGCATTGCGTCGTTTGATATATTTTATTCTAGAAACTTCACTAATAGAAGAAGCACTAGAATTTAATTGAGCTATTTTAATCTAGTCGATTATTAGCATTATGCCAGGAGAATTGTCAACAATGACTCTTCCAGCTCCATTTGCAATGGACAATTTAGTAAATAATTTATCAATTTATTTATTTATTCAATTTAGATGAAATTTTATCTGTCCACTCAGCTTATAATTTGTCCTGGTTCACTTGAAAGTTCACAGCACAGTCAATAATTTCCCTCTCTTTCTGTGGCTCTCTGCTTCATATCACTTTCTCTTATTGGTCCCTGCTATCAGTTCTGCTCTCTGTTGCCTTCTTAAAGGGGCTCTTCAAATTAACTATGTATTTATTGCTCAAATTTTAGGTCTCACTTTTTTTAAATTAAATTAAATAAATATGTCACCTATATTAGCTTTTTTGGGGGGAAAATAACAAATTTTTTGATCCCATGTGAGTCTAAAATGGTTACTACTTTTATTTATTTATTTATTTATTTTTCTACAAAACAAGACCATGGTTAATGGTTAGTTTTAAACATTAAATAAATATTTTATCAATTTTTTTTTTTTTCGGTATAATGAAAGAGGCCGAAGGCCAAGAGTACGATACCTCATTGATGTCGTGCTCGAATGATGCTCCCATGCTTGGAGGAGGAGATGGTACCCGATGTAAGCCAACCAGGCAGCCGCTAAACTCGCCATGTGGTCAGCCGTAAAGTTGGCTTCCATATGTACGTGATGGATTCGAATATCCCACATGAATGGTTGGTTATAGTCAATACATTGAACTTCAATTGCAAAATCAAATATATAAATTTGCAATATTAGTCTAATAAGATTGGTTAAGCTGCAAATTTGATCCTATGAAATTGACTTTCTGCAAGTTTGATCTCGTTAAACTTTTAACCATTTTTTTTTTTACAAAACAAGACCATGGTTAATGGTTAATTTAAACATTAAATAAACAAGACCATGGTTAATGGTTAGTCTAATTTTTTTTTTTTTTTGTGCAATTTATAATAGTCAATGACGACTTTATTGCACAATATAATTGTATTATTAAACTAGTACAATACTTATGTACAACACGGGTGTTGAATTAAGAAAAATATGATAAAAGTTATTTATGTTTAATATCAAACCTAACTCCAAAGCAAAAATAATATAAAAAGAGCATATGATTTTTGTCATATCAGCATCTGAAACGTGAGAATTTACCACTTACGCTCAACACATTTTGAATTAATATATAGAAATTATCGAAAACGTAAATTAAAAAAAATTAAAATTACTTATCATAATCTAATCTATCAATAAAGTGTGTGTAGGGCTAAAGGAGCCAATAATAAAGACTAGAGAAAAAGACATTAGCCTGAAGCTTTTACAAGTCATTTTTTTCAAGCTTTCACACATGAGAAATCGTTAGCTAGCCGCCATGCTAATTAATTATAAATTCATTTATTTATTGATGCTGAATTACTTAATTAAATACATAGATAAGGGGAAAATAAGAATCACCTTGAAGAGGATATGAAAAAAGATAATTTAACAAAAAGAATGTAAGTCAAATAATTAACATTTTTGCCATAGCTAAAGTGCAAATTTCATTAATCGGTGAGAGTTTTCATGATTCATTTTCATCTCATTCTGAAAATAATAATAATAATAATAATAATAATAATAATAATAATAATAATAATAATAATTTTTCATAGGTAGATTATTAATATTGTAATTGCACTTAATTCCGATAATGTACTATATTTAAGTTTTTTATGTCATAAGTAGATCGCGATCGACCACTAGTAAATTTTGAAAATAAACCATAATTGATAGATCAAAATTTTCAAAAGTAAAAAAAAAAATGTAATTAATATGTGAATTATGTTATGTAAATTTGAAGTTTGGACAAATGATTATGTCATGTGGGTTTTTCCTCAAATTATTAGCTATTGAGGCAACAATATAGGGCAAATATTGTGTAGCTTTTTGGACTATAATCTATATTTTTAACATTAAATTTGTGCTACAAAAAAGCGTAGGACTATGTTTGGTAGATAATATAAGCTATCTTATAGCTTATTTGGTTGGTAAAATTGCATCAAAATACACCACCTTTTAACTTTTTGCAATTTAATCACCACCTTTCAATGTTTGCAACTAAGTACACCAGCTTTAGACATTTGGCAAATCGAAGCATGCCAAACAGAAACCGACACCGACTTTCTTACGTGGCAATGTCGAAAACTCACGTGAAAATCGGAAACACGCATAGAAGTCCAAAAATACCAAACAAAAAATTTAAATGCCATAAAATCAGTTTTGGCATATTTGCTAAAATAAAATCAAAATTAAGTAGCTCCTCATACCTAAATTCAAAATCAGTCGAACAACTATGAACCCTAAATTGAAAAAATGTCGATTAATTCAACATGTTCTCTTGTGGCCAAAATAACTCACCTCCAAAATAATCTACAGAACCATCAAGAATGATAAATCTCCCCCATGGTTCAAATTGTTCGACAATTTTGCAATTTAGGGTTCTTAGTTGTTCGATTGATTTTGAATTTAGGGTTGAAGAGCTACTTAATTTTGATTTTATTTTAACAAATCTGCCAGTTAGACTGATTTTGTGGCATATTAATTTTTGTGTGTTATTTTTGGACTTCCACGTGTGTTTTCGATTTCCACGTGAGTTTCCGATGATACCACGTAAGAAAGCAGGTACCGGTTTTCGTTTGACTTGCTTCGATTTGCCAAATGTCTAAAAGTGGTGTACTTAGTTGCAAACTTTGAAAGGTGGTGATTAAATTGCAAAAAGTTAGAAGGTGGTGCATTTTGATGCAATTTTGCCTATTTGGTTAGTATATGAGCTTCATGTATTCAAATAAGCCTTGCTTGGTATGATAAACTTTTTTAAAAAAACTCGAGCTTATTTGATAAGCTTCTTTAGGTAACTTTTCAAATAAGCTGGTCGAATTTTTTATTTCAACTAGGTTATCAACTAATTTTACTAAACATTTTTATCATACAAACTAACTTTTAGCTATAAGTTATAAACTATAAGCTCGAAAATTATTGATAAACTATACGCTAGCTTATTAGCTAGTTTTACCAAACATAACCTAATTCAGAATCTATCATGTAA